ATGACTGGGCCCAAATGAAATGGGAATTAAAAGATGGCTTGACTGGGTAATGAAAAAACTTTATTATAACTGTATGATGTTTTGACAAGACTTTGTCATCCTCAGGTACAAGTGAGGATGACAAAGTCTTGTCAAAACATCATACAGTTATAATAAAGTTTTTTCATTACCCAGTCAAGCCATCTTTTAATTCCCATTTCATTGGGCCCAGTCATCTCCACTTCAGCTCCAGGATATGGAGTGGGCAGCCACAAAGGCCCTACTTTCTCCTTCTCTCTCTCTGCACAAGAGGTTCTATCTGTTTTGGAGATGTGAACTTCCTTGGAAGCTCTCATTCCCTTGGGTTGTGCACATGTGCATTCCTTTAACTGAATGCTTCTCGACCAGTGGAACTTCTCCCAGAATTCCTTGAACCATCCCATCATCTTTCCACCTGGGATCAGGGCTGACCTTGCTTGGTGGCTTGACAGGGACTTAACCACAGTGGGGGTTCCCATTCCTCTGCTTCATCCTGAGTCTCATCTGTTAATCAGGCTCTGTATCATTTCCTCACACTCCTGTGGGGGTGGGTGGTTATGATTCATTCTGACAATTCCACTGTTGTCAGCTATATGATATACCAGGCAAGTCCAGATCTTTGTGTTTTCAGACTCTGGATCATCTGTACTAGACCAATGACCATGATATGATGGTTCTGGTATGTCAAGTTCCCAGAATTATGAATCTTGTGGTTGACTGCTTATCCAGTCCCAACCAGGTTCTCCCCACAGAGTGGTCCCTTCATTTTCAGGTGTTTCTGTGGTTGTGTTCTCAACCGGGAATACTGCATATATACATACCTTTGCCACTCACTGGAATGCCAAACATCCATCTTTTTGGTTTCCAGTTCCTCACCCTTCAGCTCTGCGGATGGGTGCTTTCAGTCACGATTGGAGGGGGTCTTCACCAATATGCCTACCCTCCAATCAGAGTCATTTCCTTTATCCAGACCACTCCTTGTCGTGTTCTGCTGGTTGCTCCGTATTGGCTGGCTCAGATGTGGATCCCTTTGCTCTGGCCTTTATTGGGGCAACTACTCCTGCCCTTATCTCTGTCCCGATCACACCTCTGACAACTGTGATTGGATGTTTTTCATCCCAACATTGCCAAACACCTTCTTAACATGTAGCTTTTGTCTGATCCCTTGCATCATCTCAGGGATTCATCCCTTGTGTAACATCTTTCCTTGCTTGTACTGTTTGCCCTTCCTTCTTGTCTATGTACCAGCAGCATTTGTCTTACTTCAGACTTTGGTCCATTTGCTGTGGCTTCTGACCATTGTGTCCTTGTGTTCCTCACCTGTCCCAGTTCTTCATTTGGTTGTTTGACCAGGGTTTGTCTGTTTCAACTATTGCTCGTTATAGGGCTGCCCTGTCAACCACCTTCCATTCTCCTGCTTCCAGAAAGCTTTCTCCTCCCTGGTTATTTCCCTTCTTTTCGGTTCCTTTCCTCTAGTTTGTCCGCCATGTCCCTTTGTTCTGTTAGATTGGGATCTGAACGATATTCATGCCCTGTCTGGTTCTCCATATGAACTCACTGCAATGTGTTCCTTGTACCATCTTTCCCTTAAGACCTATTTCCTCCCCCTCCTGGCATGTTGTTGTCATTGTTCTGATATTTATACCATTAATTTTCCTGCATCCTTTACCATCTCTTGTATGTTATCCTCAGTCTAGATCAGGCCTTCCTTCCCAGGACATCAGCTGCTCAGGAAAGTTGTTTAGCTTTTTCTCCTATTTCCTTACCTTTCATTTCCCACTTTTACTCCCTTTCAGGTCTGGATCGACTACTTTGTCCAGTTCATTCTCTGCTATGTTATATGGATCAAATTGCCTCCTTTCGTGGTTCTTGTTCCTGTCTATTTATTCCATGGAACTCCTCTGTTTCCTGTGATCTATCACCTATTATGTTCATGGTTTGTGTTGTCAATTAATACGACTGGCATATTCTGACTTGTCCATGGAAGGTTGCCATCTACATAATGTTTCTTTGCACCACATTTGTCACCTAACTATATCTTTAGCTGCTCATAACTGCCATTCTTTGGAGGAGATCACTCAGGCTAGTATGTGGAGTACCTCCCAATACATTTATGACACATTATTTGCATGACCTAGTTGTGTCTTCATTAGGCAGGTGTTGTCACCCTCCTTGGCAATTCTATGCACGTTTTTTCACCTTTAACTGGGGTAAGTTGACCTGTTATTATTTTGTATTATTTTCAGTTGATATACATCATATTTCAGGATCCCACCTAGTGGTGAGTATTGCTTGGTTATGTATTCTGAATATTAGATCTTTGCATTAATTCAGTATAATTCTAAATGCTCACTGTAGAGATGGGGTGTTGCTGTAAGACCACTGTATGCCTTTCCGGTGGTGTTTATATATGTATATCAAACTTTTAATATCAATGTATTTTATATAAAGGACTATTACTCATGGACTTCATGAGTAAAGTAGATGGGGATTTTTGCCCATTCTCACTGACCCACGATTCTTACAATCTGAGTCTTTCTGCTTTTCAAGATAGGAAATCACAGACACCTGTCTCCAGTGTGTTGTTCCTCTAGACTCCCTAATGTGTATTGCCCCCTTTTTTTTTCTTCTAGTGGAGCATTGGAGTCCTTACCACTCCAGTTCCCAGTCGCTGGAGTGTTGGACCATGGATTACCCACTAGGGGAGAAGAGGGCTGTTGTCATTCTAATTATTGATTAGGCAATAACATACTATTCTGTATCCAAGGTGCTTCCCCTGGATGTTTTGCCTGGGCTGATCGCACTTGTTGATCATAATATACATGCTTATTCAAGGCTCTTTCACTGGATGTTTCTGCCCAGTTGAACTGCAGTTGACTTACTCAATAAAATCCCAACATGCTTCCCCTGGATGTTTTCTCATCCTATATATCCAAGGCACTTCCCCCTGGGTTTTTCCTGGGCAGACTGTACTTGTTAATCTCTGTATCTTATGCAAAACACTTCCTCTGGATGGTTTCTCCCCAGAAGAACCTCTCTTGGCATAATCCGATGTATCCCAAGGTGCTTCATGCAGATGTTTTTTTGCCAGGGTGGGCCTTACGGCCTTACTTGGCCATAATATTATATAATGAAGACACTTCCCCTGGATGTTTTTTGCCATGGTGCACTGCACTTGTTGATCTTAAAAACTAATGCAACATGCTTCCACTGTTGTTTTTGCCCAGATGGACCACACTTGGCATAATCTGATGTATCCCAAGGTGCTTCCCCTGGATGTTTTTTGCCCAGGTGGACCACACTTGGCCTATTCATATATAATTTATGGTCCTTTAGCCCTAACCACTTATGCCTATATCACCTTATCTGGCATTTTATCGTGGTGCAGTATGATTGGATGAGGATAGTCACATGATATGCATATGTTCTGAAATGGCATGAAAATAAAGGGGTGTAATATATTAGTGAACATTTTTTTTAGCAGTGTTTAGAGGGCAAATCAAGGTTAATAGCTTTGGGTGAGTAGCGGTTAGTATATTTGTATAGGAAAAGCTTAATGTTCAGTTGGTATGTTTATTGATTAGCTCTTCATATTTTTAGGACAAATGAAAAGAGAGAGTATTTACCGATAGTTTTTGCTAGTGAACTCAGCTACAGGATTAAAGACCTAGTGGTAAGTTAATAAAATATGTAACTTGATGGGTGAGTAATTTTTAACTAATCCAAAACTAATTGATTTTGTGTTTATTCCCATCATAAGAATCCAAGTATGATGCATAAATCAAGACTTCAGCATTAAATATGTATTTTTTTCATATTTATATAAGTAAAAAACATAAAAGATAATAATATATTAGTAATGGTAAACATGATTGATAATTGACAAGAATATGAAACTGCTTGTTAACAGAATATATACTGATGCTATTTTATGTAACAACTGCATCCAGTGATTCTTTTGTATGTAACAAACAACACTGCATTCAATAGGTGTACTAAATTAACTGGATCATACCCTAATGGGTGTATTCCATCTCAATATCAAATTTGTATCATTGAATAAAAAACATTACAGAAAAGAAAGCTGTAGTCATTCTTCCACACGTTTTTTTTAGAATACTTCAGAGTTTAAATGTAATTAATAAAAAAGTTGTACTAATTTTGGGCATAAAATTATTGTAAATTTTTATTTGATTTTAGCTTGCTCCAAACATAAACATCAGTGCTAATTTGAAATTTGTAATGGTGTGATATAACTGTCTGTATTTTGTCTTTGAGAAGTCATAGGCTAGTGATCTAAACATGTAGCAGAAACTCTTTTTCTATTATTTTAAACTGTATAAGCCTATGTAATTTCCATTTCAGCCAAGACTTGAATAGAGATTGGAACAAAGTAATAAAAGCTTAAATTTGTGCTATGTTGTTAGTAGAAAAGATGTTTGAGAAAAACATCCACTATAATTACAAAAAGCTTGCTTTATCATAGGAAAAAAAAAAGTATTTTTTGACACAAAATGAAGTATGGGTAATTGGATTATTTTGCACTCGCCTGTATGTTGACAAGGCTGCTGTTCTTAGGCCTTATTGGCCTATGCAGCATCATGAATGGCCATAGCAAAATTACTGAAGAAAATGTAATAAAAATTATATAACTCAATATGAAATAGGATTAAAAATTACTACGTATATTAAATGAAAACTTCTGATTAACAATAAAAACAAAAACGTTTTTTTTTATAATTTTGGTATTTTAAAATATTTTTATTGTATGCTAGTGATCATAAACATGGTGAAACTGTGTGTGGTATTTTTCACTTCAAATTGAATTAGAATTTACAGTTTCATACAAAGTTTATAGGAACATTATGTTCTAAGAATATAGGAGGACATAAATATTAGTAATTGAAATATACAACATAGGTAGGTATTCTTAATTGTTTCTGAGTAAGTGCAGTACATGAATGATTTGTAAAATTGTCACTTCACCTAATAGCTGTTGTAAAGTAACTTGTGTTAACTGAAGAAGGCATTGGTAGAGTTATTTGTTTGACGACCCATACCTGCTAAATGACTAGAAAACTGTTATAGTAGACAAGCAATGCCTACACATAGGCAGAAGTGCAGGCCATTGTTTGGAGTGTTAGCTTGTGATGAGGATTATGATTCATGGTAAGTTTGATTAAAAAAAAAAGTCACAAATGCCAAAGACCTTTAAAAACTAATTACAATAAATAATCTTCTTTTTATACATCATTTTAACCCAGTCTTAAGTTAAATAATTCTTAATTTTTGGTAAGACCCTAAACACTAGATAAGGGTGACAAAACATTTAAATCTATTGTAAACTATTATACTATGGCTTATTGTATTATAAAATAATGTGCCTTATATTTAAACACTTAGTATATTTATGGCTTAGATGGTTGGCAAGTGTTTCATACATGTAAGGAAACTTGTTTAACTTGATTAACTGGTAAATTGGACATGGGTTTTACAGTTTAATTACAAGATATATATTTTTTTATTTTATAATGTTCTTTTTTATCATTGTTCAGCCTCTTAACACGGTTGAAATGGTCATGCCTTTGACTGTTAGTTACACACCAATATCCCTAGGTCGGCTGAGATTGATGGTCACAGTAGAACATGCAATGAAGTCATTGGAAAAAGCAGGTGAATAAATTCTTATATATTTATTGTTTGTCTTGAAAAAAATAATTGCTAAACAGATTCCAGAAAATACATTTATATTTAGAAAGTTATGACCAGTTATTTTATTCATTGTTTTTATCTTTTATCAGATTCCAAGTGTTTGAATATCTTTATTTACTTATCCAGTAATTTGTGAACTAATTGGAATATACAACTGTTTACTTGTGTTTTATTTTATTGATACTTGGTGAAAATATACATTAACAAGGTTTAATACTTTGTGCTATTGAAGTTAATGTTTTATTCCTTCACATATTTCTTTTGTGAATTTTATAATTATTTAAAAGTTAAAGGATTAATTTCAATTCCATGTACTTTTTTTATTAGGTTTCACTCCTAAGGATACTGATGAAATCAAGGGGATATTCTTTGATACCAATATCTATCTTTTACTGCTGACTTTCTTTGTATCTGCATTTCATGTAAGTTCAAAACCAACAAACAATGAATTTTGGTTTTATTTGTGTTAAAACCTATATTACTGGAGTTGTAATATACGTGTAGACTATGAAACAGCTTCAAGCTTGAGTGAGATATAAAATGATAAATGTGAATGGTGTTTTATCTTCACAGTATATGTAAATATAGAGATGTATTAGATAAGTAAACTAGTGGTGTCAAAGTGTGTGTGCAAGATACAAAAGGACTGTGAATTTGAGAGAAAGACTAAGAGTGGTAAAAGTGTAGAAAATTCATTCGAGTAATAGTCACAATGAGTTGTAATGCATTGGTTATTGAGACCACTCAATGATATCAGGTACATGATAATACAGTATCTAAAACTATTTAGGGCAGCCAAAATTATTGAGTGTGAAGAATGGTTCTTTGTTACAATTTCAAATAAATGTCAACTATTCTTTGCATCAAATTCACTTGGGATTATCTGTGAGGTTTGGGTAGTAACGTAAGTATATTTAATTAGCTATGTTGATTTTTAGCTTTGCTTTAAGTACATAACTTGCTCTTTTTGGTAGTTAATATTAATTAGATATATTTTGAAGGTCTACAGTACATACATTGTCCCTAAGAATGTTTAACAAAATTTTGCTTTGTGTTAGATATACACTTTTGGGATCTTGATGATCAGTCAAAAATTCTGTGAGGTGGTGAGAACTTAAAGTGTTGGCTGATTGTGAGTGTGGAAGTGTGCAGTAGGACAGTCTGACAGTGATTGTACTGTGAAGGATGGTAGTGGATGTGTATGGTATGAGCTGCATTGTGCTCCTTGAACATAGAAACATTCTGTGAAACGTCTGTGTATCCATGTGTGTCAATAGATATTAACATAAGGTGACCATATTTTTTAAACCAAAACCAGGGACACTTTTATACAGGTTTCTACCTATATTCACCATAATTAAAAGGTGCAAGTAACATTTTGGCTTCTTTGATGATGACAAGTGAGTTGTGAATAGTTAAATATACAGTGAATATCTCATTTTAACAGTGCATAATCATAACTTCTAAAAAAAGAACAGGAAAATGTTATGTGGCATGTTTAGATTTGTACATGTGGCAACCACACTGGTAGTATCACATGGCAATGATTCACCTAAAGCTGAATGTTTATATCGATTATATTTTCTGCTGCAGATTTTATAACACAAGAAATGAAACGTAAATGTATTTTGGAGGGAAGCATTTTTGGGAATATTTTTTTCTTGAGACAACATTCCTTAAATGGGAACCGTGCCTTGAAATCAGGAACATATGGTCACCCTATATTAAAATATTCCACAATCAGGAATATATGGTCACCCTATATTAAAATATTCCACAATTAGCAACATATGGTCACCCTATATTAAAATATTCCACAATTAGGAACATATGGTTACCCAATATTAAAAAATTCCCCAATTAGGAACATATGGTCACCCTATAATAAGATATTCCACAATCAGGAACATATGGTCACCTTATCTTAAAATATTCTGCAATCAGGAACATATGGTCACCTTATCTTAAAATATTCTGCAATCAGGAACATATGGTCACCTTATCTTAAAATATTCTGCAATCAGGAACATATGGTCACCTTATCTTAAAATATTCCACAGCCTCTGATATACTCCTTTAGTCAAAAAAGTCCATTTTTTATGGAATAATGTGTGATCAGAACTTGGTTTAAAAATAACACCATATTTTAACTTTATAGAATGTCTTTTCTACCATATCAGGTGGTTAATTTGTAAGGTTAGATCACATATTTTTAGTCATCATCATATGATTGAACTTGTAGAATAATATAATGAGTAAAGTTTCATAAAACACTTGTCAGAACTTTGTTGAGAGAATACTTTACAAAGTAGCAGCAGTTATTCAGGACTTATCACTTGGACAACCTCTTTCTTTATGACTAAAATAAAATTTGATTAAAATAGTTTCAACTCCAATGCATGCTAAGTGTATTTAAGTATCATGAATGCTACTGCATGGAATAGAAGTAGTTTACTGGATATGTGGTTTCTAAAATAATAAATACACCATTTTGTACATATTTGTAATTTTTTTGAGGGGGGGAGGTTCAACTCATAACTTGCATGCAATCTGTGAACTTTAATTTTGTCATGTAATTTGTTAATAATGCTGATATTTTAAAAATAATTGGATCCTTTGTATAATTCTTCACAAAGGGTCTGTAATTTAGAGATTTTTGTTCATTTTGTTGCAAACATATTTGATAGATACTTCGTAAAGAGTACACTTAACCCATGAATAGGTTTAAAAGAGAAGTATTCTGTATCTTTGTAATCTAATGAAATATGGGAATAACTATATTTTTCCAGTTATTGTTTGACTTTCTGGCTTTCAAAAATGACATAAGATTTTGGAGGGAAAAAAAAAGCATGGTGGGAATGTCTGTTCGAACTATCATCTGGCGGAGTATAAGCCAAGTGATTGTTTTTCTTTATCTACTGGATGAAGACACCAGTCTCCTTGTTCTTATTCCTTCTGGAATAGCATCTGTTATAGAGGTCAGAGTTCTTTTTTTTTCTGTGTTCTCAAAATATTTGTGAAAGCAAAGGTAAAAAATACTAATCTCATAGGCAGGAGAAATTTATTGGGTGTAGTAATACATATATATACTTTAATACTGGATAAATCTGTCCTATTGTGATACATTTTGGTATTTACTGAATAATAATATGTATTAAAAGTTTACATCATTATTGAAAATAGATCCAGAAAACCAAGATTTTATTACTGCAGGTACTAACTTGTTATTTCTCATCATCTTAGCCTAATATTCATCTAGCTTACACGTTATTATATTGATCACATAATTCCTTTTTCAGTTTTCTTGTTCAAGAAATGAAGTTTGTTCTATACTCTATATTTAACAAATTGTTTTTGTTTAAAGTTAAAATTCTAACATGTTCATCACTTAACTTTTTTTTAGTTGGTAATAGTAGGTAGTTATATCACACCTCTGTATAATGTATTTTGATCGTGATACTACATATAAAATAATATTATATGTATTGTTAAATTGTACTTGTATATTAAACATACTTTTTATATTCATTGTTTATGGTTGTAAAAAAAAAGGATTGTGTCACTACTAAACTAATTGCTTATAGTTTATAAATCCAGTACTGCTGAAGACACTTTACATACCAAGACATTGTTGTTAATTGTTACATCACAAAACTGTTTATATACAGTTGAGTGTAACTGTACCATTGTCACTGAAAACATTTAATTCATTCTTTTCTTGGGTATTATCTCATAAATTATCCTTCAAGCTTCAATATTTAAAGAATTTTCACTGCTTTCTTTACAGTTTTGGAAAGTGACAAAGGCACTCAAACTGCATGTTACCTTTAAAGGAATAATTCCTAACTTTAGGGTAAGTTATGTCTTCCAACTTTTCATTAGTGCATGAGAATATGTGTAATATAAATATATGTTTTTAACTTTACAAGTGCGTGAATGTATTGAATTGGTTTCACAAGTAGGAATCAGTGTTAATGCTGTGATACGTAAATACAAGTTGGTTAAACATTTTCACCAATATTTATATTTTAGCACTAACCTATTTTGGAGCAACTTAATTTTTGTAGATTATCAGTTGTTAGTAAATGTTTCAAACTTTGTAACATGTAGATAGATTAAATGATACATGTAGGTTTAGGAGTATCTCAAAACTACTTATCAACTCATCCAACAGAAAATTTAATTTTGTGTTTTTACAAAACTACAAGGATTAAAGATATTTAAAAGTAGAAATAACTTTATATGCTAATATAACTTGCACTTGTCATTTCCAAGAATTAAAGCCCGTACCTTAAGCTTACATTTAAAATTATTTTTGAAAAAAAACATTAAACATACCTGCTAGTTCATAATATAGCTAAACCTGTATCTTCTTTGTGCAAAGCTTGCACTTTCTACGCTTTACAGCTCAGTCCATATAAGTATTAATTTAAAATAAGGGCATACAAGGCTTTAGGTTTTAATTTGAAAAAACAAAACAAAAACATAGATTAGAAGTAATCAGGTAAACTGTGTTACTCTTCAATGTTGAAAAACATGCAACCATAGCAAAGAGATGTATAAAAAAAATTTCTGTTCTCAACATAGAGTTTGCTTGTAAGGCTGGAATTTCTTATCATTTACTCTCTCCTGGTTCTTGAGATGGATATTTTGGACATGCTCATAAGAAATTCCATCCTTACAATTATTTCACTGCAATAAAACATTCAATTTATATTTTCATGGAGAAATTCTAATGTTTTGTTACATGCATTATTTTTTTATTATTATTTCATTTTGGTGTGTATGTATGTATATGATGTGTGTGTGTGTGTGTGTGTGTGTGTGTGTGTGTGTGTGTGTGTGTGTGTGTGTATATATATATATATATATATACATATAATTTTACTTATGAATATTTTATAGTTTGAAAGTTCAAGTGCAAGTGAAAAACAGACAGAAGAATATGATTCACAAGTAAGAAATTTTTTTATGTAATTTGGATATGCGCTTTTTGAAATTACAATGTGTAATAGGCTTCAATCCCTTAGAGAATAAAGCTAAAATCTGAGTAGTTGTTGGAATCTGTTAGTACTTATGAATTCTCAGTAAGTTTGTGTATAGAACTATATCAGTTTATTTATTACAAAATCAGTTTCATTATCCAGCAAATTTTTCTTGTTTTTGCAATAAATACTGAAGGTATAAATTTAACTCCAGTCATTAAACTTATTGTGATTTCATAAAATACATTTTTAGCAAGTGTTTTGATAGTTTATATTACTCCATTTTTGAGTAGTTTAATATTGGATAAAAAAGTTTGATGAAGTAAATTGGTTGAATAGTATATTTGATTTCTATTTTTTTTCTTTTGTTAGAGTATGAAATACCTGTCATTCCTGTTATATCCCCTGTGTTTGGGAGGAGCAGTCTATTCATTATTTTATGTACAACATAAAAGGCAAGTTTGTACACCAACACTACTATATCTGCTTCATTATGTGTGGTATTTTTTATTACACAGATTGTAGGGAAATTACATAGCATTTGTGATGTTTCTGTGCTTAACAGTTTATCAGATTCATTACAAGTTTTCAATTTAGAAGGACTTGTCAGATACCTGATGTTCCTGTGCTTAACAGTCTTTATCAGATTCATTACAAGTTTTCAATTTAAAAGGATAGACACTAGGAACTAATACCAAAAACGTTAAGATTTCTACATATATTTTAACTAGTTTTACTGTTTAACCTATCATAATTTTATTAAAAGGTAAAATAACTGGGGAGTAAATCTTTTCACAATATTCAAGATAAATAGCTCAAAAACAAAAAGTATCAGTGATCCGGGTATCCATGAGTAACACATTATTACATGCCTACATTAGTGGTAACTTACAGTTACATATATGTTTGAACATATTGTAAAGCAATGCTATTGATATTTCACTTCTCTCGGCTGTAAAATAAAGAATGGTGTTAAAACTTTTGCCTTTCAGGTTCATTTATTAAATTTTAATAAAAGTGATAAAAAAAGCTAGTTGACAGTTCTGGAAATCATACTAAACTCAGTATCCTGGGTTTTGAAATATCACTACATTTTCATAACATAATTTTTTATTACTTAATCCATTCACTACCAGTACTTGAATGTTTTTTAGCTACATACCGATGAATCTAGCTGTTTTACATATTTTACGGAAAGAGTAGAGTAAAAACAAAACTTTCCTGTACAAATATCTATTCTTAATAAAAGTGTGTTATGTACTAAATGCTTACATCTATGATAATTCAAATACCAATTCTATCTTCACAGTATTACTTCAATCAAGTGTGGTCACTTCTATGGATGCTTATTTTGTGAAAATTTATAATAAAATGGGAGAGTTTTTTCTTAACTATTATTGAAAGGTTTTTTATGCTTACAAAAACATATACACACAAACATTGTGAGTATGAGTATGCTTAAAGGGTTCTTTTTTTTAATGCAGCTGGTATTCCTGGTGTATCCATAGTCTCGTTAATGGTGAGCTTTTAAGTTATTTATTTTCTCGATTAGGCTTAGATTGAACATTTTATTAAATACTAAATGTTGACAACCTGTAATTACCAAAGTTGTTGTTACACAAGATTGAAAAGGAAGTTCTTGTAATGTACATACAGAAATGATTCTCTCTTTGTTTTTACTTTTAATAATCATAAGATTTTTGGTTGGTGTCTTCATTAATAATTATAATATAATTTTTCAGTTAGATAAGGTGTTATACACAAGTATGAAATTGTATGTAAATTAGGAAAAAATATTGCCTCTTTCTTGAAGATATATTTTAAATAACATCTATAGTTTTATTTTGTGACATACCTTCTAGTTGGATTTGAGACCAGGAAAGTCAGATAGAATAACAGATAATTAATACATTCAATATACATTTATCTGTGGAATAAAATAACCAGAAAAGTCTGAAATGTTTGAGAAAAATTGCTCTCTTATTATATAACTAAATATGATTAAAATGGTAGGGGACAATTCCTTTCTTCTCTACCCTTCCAGTGAAGGGGAAGTGTGTGTTTGGGTAATTGCTCATTGTTAGCTATGTAAAATGATTTTTAAATCGTCCGATCCTGAGTAATTATAATGATTTGTCTTTCTTTTTCCCGCCTACTAAAAATGTTTTTATACTTAATAATCATTTGGTTATAGGTTCTATGGAATTTAAGTTCAATTATTGTAACTGTATGTTTCAAAAGTTTAATAACCTTAGTTTCAGTTTACAAGTTTTGAATACAAATTTGGTTTTTTTTTTTAGAAAGGGGTCTTACAACTTTGACAGTGATTATAAGCTTAAATTGGATTACGTTATTGTGAACATAAAGCTAGACATTCCTCCAAAGTCACTTTAATTAACACTATTTCAACAATGATTAGTAAACTGTTCGTACATATCCTAACTAATTGTAAAAATACCATGGATACTGGAGACAAAAAAAAAATAATTGTGAACTTTTCAACTTGGTTGTCAAAATGCAAAAGCTATGTTATCAGTTAAGTTCATTAAATAATTTTTTTACTGATATTTGTTGTTCTGTAACATATATGGTTTCAAACAACTATTAATTAACATCTCCAATTTAGAACAAGCTCAAAGGTATTATAAAATGTATTAAAAAATACAACTTCAACTTTAAAATCAATTTGAAGTTTTATTTTGTGATTGCTTTAATTGGAGAAAAGATTTGAAGTTAGCTTACAAAACTTCTAACCCATTCTAGGTGTTTATGCTTTTGGATTCCTCTTCATGCTACCTCAACTCTTTGTTAATTACAAACTTAAATCTGTGGCACATCTACCTTGGAGAGCTTTCATGTATAAGGTAAGGAATTGTAATTATTTGAAATGAAGCAGCTTTCAAGAACAAACTCGTTTGAAAACCAGACTTACAGACATTCAGGAAATCTTTAAAATACCATAGATATTGGACACAATTAAAAATGTGGACTTTTCAACTTAGTTGTCAAAATGAAAACGAAATGATATCAGATCAGAGTATTTTTTACTCTAACACGTATGGTCTCAAACAACTAGTTAAAACTTCCAATTTGGAATGAGTTTGGAGGTATTATTAAAATGCCTTTAAAAAGATTATAAATAGGAGGAAATATTAAAATATTGCCCAAATGAAGTACTTGTTTCTGTAGCCATTTATTTGATGGAATATAAGATACTTTGTTTTCATAATTCAAAATTGTATAATGTAAATATAGCCGAACGTTTCATGGAATTTCCTAATTGATTAACTGTTGACATTCATTTAATCGATTATTCTCACATAAGACTAATCTTCCTATTTTCAGCTTTTGTTTTTTTAAGACATTTTAAAACTACTCTTCATTTAATATGATAGACATCTTCAGGTACAACAGTTTAGGATTAAGTTACTTTTTTAATCTTGAACTGTTGTACATGAAAATGTATCGTATATATGTTATAGTATGAAACAAGCTGAAAATATGAACAATACTTTTAAACCTTTTACTGCATAGTTTGGATATATCCAAATAAACATTTATTCCCACTAACTGTGAAATTCGGATTTTCCCCACTGCTACCAAAAAAAATTTCCCTCTAGTGTGACATGTGGGAGTATCCTCTGTACTTGAAACAATTGCCAAACCTGCATGTGTGCTGCCATCTGTGTTCTATGCCGTGAAACCTGGATGTTTATATGCTTCATTACAAAATTGCCAACTTTGCAGGAACATATTTAGAATCTATATAGAGACCGTTTCTTTATATCTTGGATATTGTTATTTAAATAATTTGTTTTATATTTTGTAATAAATTTGGCCTCTTAATGACTTAGTTTTTGACTATATTTATCCCATTTACTGGAGAACACTTTTCTTGTAATTATTTTGTTTAAATCATTATATTTCACTATCCAATATGGTTTTCTTGGAATATTACTGTCAGATATAGAACATACAGCTGTTTTCAATATTGAAAAAGTAATACTTTTATTTTTGGGGCGGATAATTGACACTTTTTTAGGAATCAGCCTGAAGAATAATTGTTTTTAGATTTCATGTAATAAAACTATAAATATTTTTGACACTGTGTATGTGGTAGATGTTGTATTGTATTTGTGAAGATACATTCACTCTGATCTCAGAAAAACAGTACATATACTATTTTACAGTATGTAATGACACTAGTTGACCTCTTGGAAGATATTAAAATAATTCATAAGGTGGAAATAAGTGTTGTAAGAAATACTAGAATTACAGTAATATGAAAAAAAAAGGCTTGATTATAGATGTTTTTGAATTTTTTTTTTCAATTCTGTCATCAGTGTGAAAACTTAAAAATATTGAACAACTTTATAAGTATTAGGAACATTCTAAACTTTTAACTATCCATACAGTAAGGTCAAAGTGTTTATGTTATGACTGTCTATTCAGAATTTAATTAAAAATTTTTAACATGAATATATGTCAATAAACTTGGGATGAAAATGTAGTTTATATTTCAAACATTTTTATTACCTAAGTTTCACCTTTATGACTATTTCCAGACAAAGAATAGCAATGCTTTTTTTTTCATTGTACAAACTATGAACTTTTACAGAGTGCCATTCAAGATGATATTACATATTTGGTGTCAGAGTTATCAACTATTCATTTTACCCTACATTAATGATTTAATGACAGTTTGTGATAGAGGAAAGTAAATACAGATACAACATACAGGAACACTGAAAAACAGTGTCTGAGTCAGCCTGATGTCATCAATTCACAGAAATATCTTGAGTACAAATACCTTTGTTACTCATCTGCTTTTCTATGTATAACAGATTTGTACTTTTTTTATTACAAATGTGTCATATTTCATTTAGGTATGCACAGTAAATTTGGAATTGTAGTCAGTATTCTTTATCCAATACGAGACCAGTCCAGTGGACCAAATCCATGTACATGACACTAATGAATGTTCATAGAAAAATTGATTAATCAAATTAATCACTCAACGCTAAATGTAAATGAACCTACAAAAACAATCTTGTTAAATTTCTATAATATTGTAGAACCTTAGAAAACAGGTAGTGGGTCTTAACTACTAATTAACTCGGTAACCTTTTGCTGGGTATTTCTGGTCATAAAACACATGAAGGGTAGTAGTTCTTCAATCAAATTCTCATGAGAAAAAAGACAGTTGTAATATTTTTTATAAATTTTGTATTGATGACTTTTTATCCTAAAATGTAAATACATGGATTTTCCAGGCTTTCAACACTTTCATTGATGATCTTTTTGCATTCATCATCACTATGCCCACAGCCCACAGAGTTGCTTGTTTTCGTGATGACATTGTCTTTCTTATTTACCTTTATCAAAGATGGTAAGTACATAGATTAAGTGAAACATTTGTGTAAGGTTACAAACATTCATTGCACGATGAGACAAATTGAGATTGAAATAAACCATATTTGTTACAAAATTATATTATTTAGAACTTTTTATATGTCAGTTAAGTATTACACGAAATTGAAATACTTATAAAGACTTGGAAACCAAATACATTATGATGTGATTGTACATATGACATGGTTTTTTTTTATACTTAATGTTGTACTTTGATATAAGTTGAGAAAATTAAGTTAACATACATCATAAAACAAATAGTAACACATCATTAAGCTCTAGGAAGTTAATCTGGAAGTCTTTTAACAACAGCATTACCATACTTACATGATGTGTGAATGTTTTATAATATTATAGTCAGTTGCATAAAATAACTTACTAGGGGCTTGTGTTAAAATTCACTCTATCGAATCCTCTTGATATGATGTATGGAATGAAATGCACATGATTTTACAAAGAAGAGTTTTATTAGTGTAACAAAACTGACCTGTTTTCTACAGGTTGTATCCAGTTGACAGGAGTCGTGTGAATGAATTTGGTGAGTCATATGGGGAAAAAAATGAGAACTCAAAGAAAGACAAATGAAAAGTCAAAGAGAAGAAATTCATTATGGTGTGGTGTACGTTACTTTGTGTTCAATTCTTATGATAAGTATCATTCCAAGACACAAATTTATTTATACGAGTTGAAACTTGGTGTCATACCTTTGACATAGCAGAAAGTCAATAGGAACATGCCAGTCAGAACAGATAAGTTTTTTTTTTTTATATCTAAAATTGAACAATTTGAGATATTAAAGTACATTTTTTTTTCTTCCCTGGTCAATTGCTTTTAATATAACTTCCAGCTTATCAGATTTGTTTTGGTAATTAACTACTGCTTTCAAATACAAGTTTTAATATGATGATATTATGATATTTTGATATCTAAGAAGTTAACATTTTAAATAGATCATTGTACATACTGCTAACAGTTACTTTCAAACAATGGAATTTCATTTTCTTCACAGTACTTTTCAACTCAATAAGAAAGAAAATGAGTAGTCATGCATTATTTAAAAAAATGTATCATTTTTGTCTACTAGCGTGTTCAGGATATTATAAGAATTCTTTGTGCAACATCAGGTAAACTCTGTCTCTTACCAAAATATATGAGCTTCTCTGGATATATTCAGTTTTTTGAGAATCCATTGTTTTTATAAGAATATGTAAAAACTTTATTTCCTCCAAACTGGGAAGATTCATTAAGACATCTAGAACCAAAGTCATTCACACTGGAGCTGTAGTAAACCCAGTTCACATATTTTGTTAGATGCACATTTTAGATAGGATTCTCTCTCGTTTAAAATTTATAATGAGCCACATGTCTTCAGTTTAGTATAAACTTGTGCCATTCTTCAAATATGTACTCTCTCTGATGTTTATATTCAGTAACAGCAGTTGTTGAAACCACTAGGGTTGTAGGGTTGCTTTTATAACATGGTATTTTTGTTATTCAGCTTCATTAGTAGTAATATAAACAAGTCTTTACAAAAAGTATTTAATAAAAATATTGCTCTTTTCTTGCACTTTAACATACATGTGCAAGGAGATGGCCTTTCTCTACAATAGAAATATGGTGTACATATATTTTTTATTAGTAGTTTCATAAAAACTTTTCAATGAAATTGGAATTTTTATTTCTAGAAGCCATTGGACTTGTTTCTATTAGTTGGCATTGGCTGAGATTAATGCAGGTTTATTGATAAATAGCTCACAGTGGTGAGATACTAAACAGATGAAGTCTTAAACTATACTACCTGTTTTAGATGGTTACAATTATTCTTTAAACTGGATATTGAACAGTTTTTTCCTTCTAATCTTGTATGTTAGTGGATTAAAACCTAGCTTTATCAAGTCATTTAACAGAATGCAACTTGATTATCCCAGGTAAAATCCTTTGATAGAAACAAATGAATTGTTGGAATAAAATTTTGATCTGTAGCAAATTAAACGTAATGGAAATGTTGATAAGTATTAGTTAAATGTATTTATGAAGAGAGATAGTCTAGAAAAGTTTTTTTTTAGATAAATATGTAAACTAAAGTTGTTACATTAAGCTGGAATGGATACTAGTCTTTTTTGTGTTATTGTTTTCTTTAAGAGAGTTTAATAATAATTGATTAACTAGAGCTATCTACAATGTAGTTAAAACATTGAAACAATAGTGACTTGGCTGCCCATTTGTATCTCTAATCTGCATTTTGCAAGGGGGTTATATACATCATCATAATTGTTCTTATAACAAAATCCTTGCCCTGGTTGGATGCTAGCTTAAATTATTTTTTTTTATCATAACCTAGATATTTTGTACCTAATGCATAGTAGTATTCTTACTGTAATAGTTTGAGGTTTGAAGTAAACATGCAAGATTTCATACATGAAATGTGTTTGGATTCTTAATAAAGAAATTTAGTTATGATGTTGCTTAATATACTTGTAATATAAGCATCTGTTGAAAAAAAAAAAGAAATAGATAATATAAATCTAATTTTATGAAACACAAAAGTGAATTTTAAAGTGCTTTATTTTCGGTAAGTTATCAGGAACGACTCCTGAAGCTCAATGGTTAAAACACACTGACTATGACTAATTTTTTTTATGATTCACAAATCTTACTCAGAATATGTTAAGTCACGATTCATAATTTTAGTGGAAAGTCTGGTTTACTAAGCTTTTATTGTATTTCACAACCTATAAACTATGAACACACTTTAAAAAAACTACAAAATATATTTTAGATAATCTTGGTTTTCTAGAAAGTTGGAAGATGTACATGTATGATGTTTAAAGTTCAGCTTCTAACTCATCAACAATATGTGAGAAGTCTTGTGCTGTATCTGAAACATGTTACCATCAAAATTCACTTCATAACTTCCTTTAAAGTAAGGAAAGTTTGTATTAGCTTTCTAATACATTTGATGTGTGTAGAAAAAAACAACTAAACTAATACATGACATGCTGTTGAACTGTAAGTGGCCTTAGCAGCCATTGTGAAGTCATTCTCCATATAATGACCCCCAGCAACAGGGATAACATATGTGATGATAGCTTGGCAACACCACTGAAAAATGGACAGTAGGGACACTGGTAAGATCCACACACTTCACAGATGTTTAGAACGTATAGATCATAAGCCTCATAGATCACTTCTTTGAATCGTTCTGAGAAAGGATAGAAAAGGTGGTGGAAGCTCTTATTTACTTGGATAATACACATAATGATTGTTAATTGAATATAATTTCTTAACTGAAATACAGGACTGTAAACTAAAATCATAGAACGTGAATTTCATAACTAGAACCAGGATTTTTTTTCTTTCTGTAAAAAAACTGACATTAAGCATTTAATCTGGAACTTTTAAATTTACTGTGAATGAAAGGTAAAGAAAATGTTAATTTAATTCACAATATTTATTATACCATAGCTAAACTAATATAACTTTTAAGGAAAATTTTAATAATAACCTCTTTAAAAAATATTTAGGGAGAGTTGCCTAATCAGGTTAAAAAAAGGGCTCTTGATGTGATGTGATACAACAACTAAAAATGACAGAATTGAGGGGAAAAAACCAAAGACAATTGTATATTTCATAAATACTTCATTTATTAACGACCATGGTTTGGCCACTAAAGGGATCATCCTCATGATACCTTTACTAGTGAAACCATGGTCATTAATAAATGAAGTATATAAATTTACAATTGCCTTTGTTTTTTTCCCTCAATTTTGTAATTATGGAGTTTCATCAAGTACTGACAGTTTCAAGGATCAACTAAAAATGAACTTACCAGGAGTATAATAGTCATAAACCCTAGCCTTCAAGTAGCGAGTTAAGTTAGCCACAGGGTACCATCTTTCTACTGTAAAATTCACACATAACCAGTCGAAGTCCAACTGAAAAATAAAGATAACAATTGAAGTTTTCAGTTTCTGTAATGGAAGTTGACTGTAAATTTTTTGTCATTGAATTATTGTGATACAAACTTTACTGTTACATGAATAAAAATGTTGTATAAAAGTATGGTGTTCAAAGTGTTCATAATCATTTACTGTACATACCTGTAAACAAACTAACATCTCCTAAATTAACATTTATAACTCGAGCTTCAGGTAAGGCTTCAACTTAAGAATGTATAATATAATTATTTAGCTTGTAAATCCATACTTACATACTCAAACATAAAAACAGCTGATCTTGGGATAACTCTGCCTCGTCTCAGTCGAGGCACTACCTCCTTACGAACATAGGAATCCATAATAGGTTTATATATCATGTATCCTGTTGGCAGAGTAATTTCTATTACAGCTACTCCACTAGTGGGACTTTCTGAAAGCAGTTTCCACCTTGAAAACCATAAAAAATGGAGTCATAAGCTTAATTTTAAGATTAATCTAATACCTGTGTATCATAGAAATTCTCTGCATACAAAAATAGCTCAACTTTTGGGTTAATATAACAAATAAATATCTTTATAGAAAACTCGTAAGATAGAGGAAAAAATTCAACCTTAGTGATGAAATAATATAAGTTTTCATGTAAACACAAAACATGGGACAAGATAAAAAGTTTTGATTTTTGTGTCAAAAGTCATGAGAAAAATGTGCTTTGTTTCAATACCTGAGAAATACGTTACTAGTTTTTCAAAGGATATTAAATTGTAGATGTAAAGATTTGCTAAAATAGCAAAGCAAAAGATTTAATTACCACAAATATGGAACCACTGTAATCCCAGAACAGATTGTTCTGGAATAAAAAAAGATTTTAAAAATCCTTGTTTATTTTCAACTCTAATTGGCGCTTATGTATTCTGTATGATTTTACAAGTTTATTACTAACTAAAAATAACGTAATTCATATATTTATCCTCAACATTTTATTAGTTATGAAAAATGAAGCTTTGCTTTGTGTTTTTCAGGACAACTATGTCTGATTAGTTTTTTTTTTAAGAATATGTAAATTGTGGTGAATTCTATATTGGCAAAATAGATCATTTAATATTAAGAAGAAATTTACATAAATTTCATGTTAGATGTCCCCCCCAAAAAATCACACTATATGCCAGCAAACATTTTAATGAATGTATTTTGAATAATTATAAAATTTTAAAAGAATCATATTTGGGCATGTAAGGGAAAACATAAAAGATTATTTTTCAAAAAAATATTTTACAAATTTGTTTGTAACCACTTTAAATGGATAGAAGTAAGAGGACAGAAGTAATTGATTGAAGAAATTAAGAAAGGAGAGAAAAAAAACAGAATAGTCTGATATTCCTGTATTTTGTTATATATCATCTAGTACAAGTCCAGCTTGGAATAATGGTAAGTCAATGGATCGTAGTTGACTTTAAATTACTTCTTTAACCATGTAGTTTTAGCTAGTTTACTTAAATAGTAATACAAGTTTCATTCCACAATAAGGTTACTAATAATATCTATACATATTAGCTAAGGTCTACCTTGCACAACTTTCAATGTTCAGGTGAGATTTGTTCCGACCATGGTAATGAGCAGCAACTGACAAATCGAAGGATTCTAATGGTGGCTGGAGAAGAAGGAAATCTCTGTCTACATTGTATTGGATATCTAACTGAAGGACTGCAAGTCCCGAGCCTTTAGCTTGTATTTCCACATGGCCCCACACATTAGGTGCAACCTAAACAAGTGAATTGTATATCAATATGTTACGTTGATTGACCAAAGTGTTCTTTGATGGATAGGATGATTGGTACATAACATTCCATGTAATCAGAAAATGTACATTTTATTACTTTATACCCATAAATCTGATAAAAGGTTCATAAAATATCGGCATAGACATGTACACTAGTCATCACAGGGGTTTTACCTTGCAAATAAATGATGTACCCTGAAATATTGTTATTCCCAGTAGCAACTTTATATTTTTTTCATTATAATAACCAAGCTTCCAATTAGTCTTATACTTTAATTTCACAGATTTGTATCTTACCAATACGGACTTGGAGGCAGCTAAGTTGTCTTGGTCTACCTTAAGCTCACCAGTTTCTCCAGGATTGGATGAAGACTCAACTTGCAAAGTCATTTTTGTAATATCTCTCACGTGAGTCCTGAATGATGCTTCAATAAGTGCTTGCATGGCAACAATAGTATCCTAGTGAACAAATATAATTTAAATTGAATAGTCAGAAATATAAAATATTAGAATACATAAAGAAATTAGTTTTGTTGAACAGTTTGTTTGTTGAATTTCATGCAAAGCTACTCATTAGCTGTCCTTAAGTTAAAAGTAATAGTTTAGATGGAAGGCAGCTAGTCAACACCACCTACTGCTAACTCTTGCGCTACTCTTTACAAATGAATAGTGGGATCGACTGTCACATTATAACACCCCCATGGCTGAAAGAGCAAGCATGTTCAGTGGTAGGATTCAAACATGACAAAACACTAAAGTAATCTAACAATATTAATAGAAATATCAGATAAGTTTTGAATAAAACGTAATCACTGTATTTTAGTAACGGGTATGAATTTTGCTAAGTATAAATAACCTCTGTAGCAAATGGATACATCTAGTTTAATATACAAACAACAGATAACTTATAATATTCTAGACACAAACGATAAAATTTAGTTCACAACTTAAAGTATCTATTTATCTAAAGAATGTGTCTTGAATACAAGAAAAATAAGTAACCACAGTATTCTAGTAGCATCAGTACATGTACATGGATCAAAATCTGTCAGACGAGACATTCCAACTTACATTATTTCTTCCCAGTGAGTGGATTTTAATTACCATTGACTAAACCAAAATAGCTGAAAACACATTTATAATTCAAATGTTAATTCGTTTTCTTGGCCTAAGCAAACTTAAATGATTGATAAAGTTTCTAGTCACATGACAAAATACATACTTGAGTTGAAATGAAACCAGCATCATAACGACGCATTGTGTTCAACCATCTTACTATCTGGTCTTGAATAATACCACCATGCCGTACATACACCATCAAAGCATAAGCTGTAGCTTCCACTGCTACAGAGTCCCATTTGCTAGGAAATCGTGGCATAATGAAAGGTCGTTGATTTTGATAGACTATTTCTGGAGGAGGGATGGGTTCTGGACTCCAGTACACCAACCCCTCTAGTTTAAAAAAAAAAAAGATTATTATTACATCTTTTATTTTGTAATAATTTTTACTCCAATCATGAAATATCCAGGATTTTGTAAAAAATGAAACAATGAAATTTAAACGAAATCCTTAAAATGTGGTTTTGTATTTTTTTTTTACAATTTTGTATTCAACCTAGTCACAACTGAACTATACTTTTTAATATTCTGAAACTTTTTTAGACATTTATCACTTAGGATGTAACATTGTTGACTGAAGTTTATGTTTTATTACAATTACAGCAGGAAGTATCATTTATTATACAAGCTATATTAACGGTTTTACTAATTCAAAAGTTTCACCAGGATTGAGATTTTCTCCAACTGACAACCACCTGAATTTATTATTTTACAGAGATGAACCAACTGTGTAGTCAAAGCTATATATAGGTAAATGCCATTTATCTTCTTCTAATTTGGGTAGTGTTTACCCACTTCTCATAGAAGGGGGAACCTAAGTTCCTACCCTGCCACAATTTGGCCTGGAGCATCAAACAGGGGAATTTACCCTCTTTTTTATTTGCCACTACATCAATGAGTTGAATAACCAGTAAACAGAGACAGATTTGTTTTCTTCATGATCATACTGAACCAAATTTATTATTTGTTAGTAATGCATAACAACTGGAAAGTGCTTTCTATGTATAAAACTTAAAAATAAAACATAGAGAATGAATTCTATTTCAGATTTAGCACATGATATTTGTTGCTTTGGCTTTTGTCATCATGTTGTGTTACATGCTATTAAAATTTAAACCATAATACACACACACCTGTTTCTCGTTTCATCTTATCTAGCATATTAAATCCTACTTCAGCCTCAACACTTCCAGCTACCATTAAAGCATAGGTGACAATAGCAACATCGTATGGACTATCAAGCTGGGGTAACTGACGTTCTAAGTACAACACTGCTCGAGCTCGGGCATTTGCTGCCTCTGTACGTAGCCCCTATAACAGAAAACACTCATTATTAGATAGTTAATAACACAAAATACAATATATATAATGATTTTATAAACTTGTGTAGAAAACAATAAACTATAAAGACTATTATATACATGAAAAAATATTTTTTTTGTCAATTTTAATTCTTACAGATACTATATGTATCAACAAGTATACACAAACTTGTCAAACCTAACTTTTAAATCAGGTTTCTCAGATGTAAGTAGACTTTCTAAATTTAATTTCATGAAAAATAAAGATTTAAAAGAAATTTTTTTCTAGTATTAGAGTTATAAATCTGTCACGTGAGAATCTAAACATTTTACAATACCCCAGGCAAGCTTGATACTTCAGCAAGAGTGATTGTCACATGAGCTGTTAATGTTGCATTTCTTAGGAGTCCATTTTCAACTTGTTGCATCTGTGTAGATAAATATTTGTAAAGAGCCACATGTATCATTGATACAAGTATCAAGTATAATGATTTTCTTCATACTTGAAAATTACTTATGTTCTAACTTAGTTGAACTAGAACTAGCTGTGTTGAAAATACACTGAACATAGCTAAATATGGCTTTACTGTTGCAAGGAAATTCCTTCATGTTAGAGAAACAGTATTGGCTAAAAAAGGTGCTACAACTAGGTTAAATAAAATGTGTAAATACTGACTAATATTCTTTCTAATAAATAATTCTTTTTTTTTTCATTTATAAAATATTTATTTTACTGAACACATCATACACTTAATCTAGTAGTGACTTAATAATATTTTTGCAACCAGATGTTGGTCTTCCCAGTTCTTTTCTCCAGTTTATAAGTATTACATAAATACCATTAGTGCTTTGAAACTAGTTACACACACATCCATAGCACATAACACTCCTCATACACAAACATTCCTAGTACCATGACACTTGTTATACATGCACACACATACACCCCTAGTACCATGATGCTCCTTATATGCCCACATCCTATGCACCATGACACTTATTATACATGCACAACTATCAACATGGCAGTCATAATAAACACACTTCTAGTGCCAACATGCTTATTATACACATACATTATTAGCAACACAATAGTTATGAAAAATCTGTTGACTAAATCTATTAAATTAGTAAACAAACCTTTTATTAAATGTCTAAAATAGTAGTATTGTTTCCTTTAAATATATGTTTTCAGCACAGTACAAAAAAGCACTGCCACATTTCAGTAGTGAAACTTACAAAAAGTCACTGATTTTCTCATAAATGGAACCCCAATGTTTTTATGTTTATAATTCACATTTTATGAAAGAAAAGATATTATCTTCACCTGTGGATCCATTTTTCTGTTCCATGAATGTTGAACAGTTTCATAAAAAGACCCATCACTTCTTTGATATTTCAGCACAAACTTAATGGAGTCGGATATAACTTTAGGATCTATGAAGAGGTAATTCTCCCAGTCGGGGTACTGAGCTAAGTTGTATATTCTAGCACAGTAAGCAGTCAACCTATATATAACCCACAAAAGAGAGGTGTCAGAATTATCAATATTTCTAACTTATAATAATCACTAAAAGCACTCAACACTTAAGTACTGTTTATTCTGAGCAGGTGTAAATAAAGTAATCTTTAGTATCTAGATCTTGTAATACATGGTCACTCTTCCCAGGCATTATTTCAAGATGTAATGTATAGCAATACATTATACATATGAATAGATCCAACAATAGGGGGAGGTTTTCAACAATTTGTATAAATCATTAATGTTCAGATCTAGAAGAACATGCACATTTTATGCTTAGGCATATTTGAATTAAGTGCAACTGTAAGAAAATTTAAAGCTAGCATTGTATAATCATGTTATCACTAAAAACAAATTCAAAAAGTGACAATTGCAGTATAGTGCAGCATATATATATATATATATATATACATATATATTCAACATAAAGAGTTATTGAGAAGTTGCACAACATTAGTGAAGCATCATGTGGAGTATGATATCCAAAACAAAAATATGTATGACAGAAACACTGTTTGTCCACCAGAGGGATGATCTGGTATAAAGAGGCTAGAGTCTTATACTTGGTACTCACAGCAGAAGGACACACATTAAAAATTCAAGCTTACACTTATACAGTGCACTGATGTAAATGGATGTAAAGGTCCTTTTGCCAACATGCACCCAGACATAGGCACAATTGCAATATCAATGATCACCAGATTAATGAAATGATTACTAATTACTAACTAATTTTTATATTACTAAACAACCCCATAATGGCTAAATAGTGCATAGGGTGTTTTGTCATAAACATTTCTCCTTTGCATGTTATCATTCATGTATCGTCTTCTATTTTTGCAATTTTCTGAGAAAGTTACTTGAATTATAAATAACTCTGTAGAAATACAAATACAGAAAAACAAACAAACTATAAATTGTGAGTGACATATGACAATAGAAATTTTACAAACATAAAACAGAATATGAACTTTTTAGAGGTGAGTTGATGTGTTAAACACTTATTACATTATTCCAAAATTTTCAAAAAAGTAACGAAGGTCTGTATGAAATTTTTAAAGATACTGTAAGGGATTATGTAATGTTCTTCATAAAGAACTATTAAATTACAGAATTATTTAAACACAAACTATTCACCAATATGAAGCAATGAAACATAAATTATATTTAACAAAATATGTTTAAAAGCATTTTTAATGTACAATTTTTTCTTTTAAAACAGGAATAACTTATGAAAATCAAAACTATTCAATTTAGTTGAGCAGGAAAGAAATTACTGTATTCTGTTATACCTTGATATCCACATAAACAATCAAAACTGAAACCTAATCTCTCCTTACCAGACACTTGGTTCTTTTTTGAACATGGTGAATGCCCCATCCATCCAAAACAACATCTGGTGAACATAAACTGAAACATTTATATAAACTTATCAGAACAGTAATATACATTTTTGTGTTCTCTTACTAACTTTCTTCACAATTTCTGTAATGTGAATATAAATAATCAATACTTCATGTGGTATACTGCTGCAAAGATAAGAAAATCATAGCAGTTTATTTCTAAAACATGTTACGAAGAAAAACTCTGCATAGAAGTCCAATTGTTATTCAGAAAAAATGGCACAAAAGATCAGATACATACACTGTCATTATTAATATACTATTCAGCTTATACAATTTTTGCATAATCAATAAATTAGTTTGACAGGTTTAAAGAAGAAACAATATATTTCATTATGTCTATTTAAAGAATTGGGGATACTTTGTGTAGAAATACTAATCAGGGTCGTAGGAAGTGGTAAGGCCATGGCCTGACCACTTCTTCATGACGTGTATAGCTACAAATTATGTATTAAAACTTGCTTCTTTTAATTCAATATATTACATTGTGTATACAGTAAATTGGAATAATACTAAAATAACAGGATCGTACAATGATGAAAAAAAAGGTTAAAAACAATTGAATCCTATCACTATCACCAAGGAAACAATCTTTCTCAGAACTTCAATGAAAACAGCAGAAGATGTAGTAAAAAAATAAATATATAAAAAGTAGCAACTAATTAATAATTTGACTTTGGTGGTCATCTATATAATAATACACTTGTTCGTGTGTCTGTTATGGAAATGATGTGTGCACGCATACATATTTAGATATTAAAATGCATGCGCATTATCATGACAGACAAAAATTTAGTATTATTATAATAGACTAGCCAAGACCTGCAAGACATTTGCACTCAGATTAGTGTTTTTATTGCAACAGTACTTTTTTAAATACAGGATTTATAGCATAATACAAAAGAAATCTAATCATAGACAGCAAAATCATGTCATACTATAATTCTGCTGTTAGTATGCCTTATAAGTATGTGCAGTAAGAATTTTACCTATAAAAACAGTGCAAGCACCTGCCTGCACCAGAGAGCTGGAAATCTCAGCAAACAAGTTACTACAACTGCTCTATGAATAAAGGGATAACTAAAAAAGTTGGATGTAAATATTCTTTATTAACCATTTAATACAATAATGTTCAAAGCTTGAAGTTTTCAAAAAGATCTGATGTTAGGTCATATAATAACATTATAAGTTTATTTGTAGATAATATTAAATACAGTATAGTTTAGTCCTAATTAAACTAATATAAAAAACATACATGGTACATTGTTTCTTTATCTCTTTATCGAACTTAGGCCTAATATTAGTTAAAGTTTATAAAGTATGGCCTAAATACAAGTGGGCTTACACATTTCGGTTTCTATGATTACATTTTGTTTGCGTTATTCTACAAATCTTGTATTTAAAGAAATACTGTTGCAATAAAGATACTAATTTGACAGGAAAAATTTTGCAGGTCTCTGCTAGTGCTAGTATATAATAATGGTCATGACATCAATACATTATATATGGCTTACTTTTAGTGCTTTGAACTTGAAAAAATATATGTTTACAATACCTCTGTTTAGAAATTCCAGGATATTTCTTGCATCACTTCCTACCAACTGATTGGTCAGTCTTAGATAAACCAGTGTATAGAGATTATAAGCAAAGTTAAACATAATATGTTCTCCAGATTTCACAGGCAGAGCAAATTTCATATCCAAAGTATTCACAAAGTGGTCTTCTGGTAGAGGGGCTCCCACAATATCACCTATAATATTTTATAGGAGATAATTCAGAATTAAATATACGTATGTCATAGCACAAATTATTGATTTAAAAGTGCAAGAACTTTTTATTATAGGAAAGAAATTAAAATTTTGAAATATGAAAAGTTTGTCAGGAGAAGTATAAACATGCATTGTGTACTTAACTGAGAGTTATCTAATATATATATATATTATGTGGAGATCATACAAGACATGAAAATGAACATAGTATATGCTGCACATGTGTGTGTGATGATTATTCATAAAAATATTTGGTTTGTTTTGAATTTCACACAAAAATTTATGAGAGCTAACTGTGCTAGCCCTACCTAATTTATTAGTGATAGACTAGAAGGAAGACAGCTAGTCAACATCACCCATTCCAATTCTTGGGCTACTCTTTTACCAACAAATAGTGGGATTGATAAATGCATTATAATGCTCCCATGGCTGAAAGGGTGAGCATGTTTGGTGATGAGGAATCGGACCCGAAACCCTCAGATTGCGAGTTGAGCACTTTAACCACCAAGCCATGTCAGGCCTCACAAAAGTCCTTAATTAGTGTTTGATAAAAAATACTTCTTAAAGTGTTCGTACCAATAATAGACACTTTTGCTCTTGGTGATCCAAATATATAACGTCTATACATCTGCTCAAAAGGAATGATAGGATCTTCTGTGATGTTTATGTCTAGAAACTTTATGTTGTAGGCCTGGTTTCTGAGATCCAATAGTAGTGATGTGTGACGATAAACTGGTACACCATCAGCCTAATAAAAAAATCTGTGTCATATCACTAAATCATAAAACCAACTTTTATTATTTTCTACACTATTCAAGTGGCTTTAGACTATAAAAATATTTAGTTTTTGCTTTATTTAAAAATATATTTATTGCATTGTTTATATAAAATGGTAAAATATAAAATATAATTTCAAAAAAGCAAATTTTGAAGGGATGCGACAAGAGTTACCTGTTGTGAATTGGGCAGCTGAGTTATTTGAAGACACTGATCAGATGTGGAAAATTTTTAAAAATAAATTTTCAAATATTCAATGTAAACATATTCCTAATAGAAAAAAAGGGTAGCTACAAGTAAAAACCAGGTAAGAAATAAAATTAAAGAAAAGCTTCATAAACTTAAGAAATTTAAATTGACTGGTATGACAGGAAACTTAGAAGATTATAGAAAATCAAGAAAGTTGGTGAAACAGGAAATTATGACATCAAAAAGGATCTATGAGAAGAAGTTGGCTAAAAGTGTAAAAATTAATGGTAAGGATTCCTTTAAATACATTAAGGGGAAACAAAATGTTAGGATAGGGATAGGACCCTTGAGGTATGATAAGGGCTAGTATCTGATGATTATGAGATGGCTGGGTTATCAAATTTTACCTTTTTTTTGGTTTTTACTAATGAAGATTTAAGAAGTATTCCACATCTTGATTAATTGATAAATTGGAACGATCAAATAAGATGACTGCATTAATTCTGAGCTGGTTAAGAAAACATTGGGAAGTTTAAAAAATGATAAGGCTCCTGGGCCAGATAATATTTATCCAAGGGTTTTGAAAAGGGTTAAAGATTGGATATGTGAGCCACTTGCTACTATTTTTTGTCAGTCCTTGAATAATGGGCAGGTACCAGAGGATTGGATGTTAGCTAATGTAACTTTTCTTTTCAGGGGAGGTGATAAAAATTGTCCCAGTAATTATAGACCTATTAGTCTTACATCAGTTGTGGGAAAAAT